TGTTGAGGATGGAGAATAAGGTGTTTTTTATAACCTATATTTTACACCTTGCTTTAGAAAGTCTTCCCTACTCTCAAGATTGTAAATATTTCTCCTATATTTTCTACTAATACTTTTTCAGTTTTGGCTTCTATATTTAGCTATTTAATGTGTGAATCTGGGTATTCTCCCTTTTAGTGTGAGGTAGAAATTATGTCAATTATTAAATATTCCATATTTTTTCTATGATTTAAAATGCCACTCTCTGTCACATAAAGTCCCATACATTTATGAATCTGTCACATAAAAGTCCCATACATTTATGAATCAGTTTCTGTAGTCTCCATTCTGTTCCAATGATCTATATTCCAGCACCAAAACAAGGCTGTTTTAATTACAATGGTACTCACCACTTTTTACAGTGCTATTTTGCAACTCTTCGCTTGGTCCCTCCCTAAACACACACAACCACCCTGAACACTTACATACAGGCAACAATGAAACTGACTGCAGGTTACATGCAATACTTATTCCAAATGCTACAAATTTTTTTTTAAACTTCCTGTGCAAAAGTCTCCCCATGACCTTGAGAATAAGTATTCTGTACAATTAAGTCAAACTTCTTAAGGGGACATCCAAATGCTTCCACTACCTGGCTCTAGCCTAGCTTGCAATCGATTAGTTCTCTCCTCCAGGGCTATTTCATCTGATCAAAGTAATCTACTTGCTACAAGTAGAGGAGCACAGCCCTACCTCCATGTCTTCACTTACTCAAGTCACACTTCCTGGAATGCTTTCCTCCTTTCCTTTCTTCTGATTTCCATCTTTAAGGCTCAGTCTCCTCCATGAAGTCTTCCTTCATGTTTCTGACACACTGATCTCTCCTTCCCCTGAATGTACCGCATTTATTTCTTATTTCTCAGCATAACTTCTGTACTTCTTAGCATAGCTTGCCTAAGAGCAGCCTCTATTACTTTTATCCATAAGTTACTTTACTAGTTAGTGTTAAGTTCAAAGCTTTTGATAAGGATTTTCAATTTAATTTTCAATGTCTCTATAACAGCACAAAAATTTTACCTGCTCTCTACTAGTTAGAAGTCATACAATACATACATAATAATCTCTCATCTTTAATCGCTTAATATTCTATTTTATCTATAGAAAAGGACACACAAGCATTTTTACTCAGATCAGGAATTGAAGGATCAGAAACAGTAATGAGCTACAGGTCTAATTTCAGGTCTAGCCCCACCCCTTAAGCTTGCCTCTTTTAAATGTACCAAAATTATGAATTTTTTTTATTCCTGCCTATTTTCAAAAGGCAGCTAGGGCCACTAAAATCACTAAGCACCACAATGAAGGGGTTGAAACAGAAAAGCTTAAGAAATTCTAAGATTTTCTGTCTAAGTAAGGATCTAAAACTGTTACTGTCACTATGCTTTATGGTAATTTGGCACAAATTTACATTTTAAAAAGTACTGTGACAAACACTTCTGGAGTAAATGGTGAGAACTGTATCTCTTTGGGGAATTAAAGGGTCTTCAATCCTGTTCATTGTGGTGGGGGAAGAACCTTTCACTGTGTTGCTTTCTTTTTTCCAAATAGTCTCATCTTAAGTGAAGGCTCAGCTTATACTTTTTTTTTCATCTACAACGTCAACCTTATTTCAGTCCCCAAACTCTGGCAATAAATAAGCCTAGCCTAGGAGTGCCTAGTACCCACTAGGCCTCTGTGCTGTGGGGGAAAAAAAAAAGACTGCCCTAGGGAAGTTGATTCCAAGGCTTATTGGCTAGAATGGTCAGGTAGACTCTTTATTTGAAAAAGAGTAAGTTTTTGTATGGCTTTTTAACTGTTATAGCAGATAAATCCTGCAACATATTTTCACGAAGCCCAGGCCAAACTAAATTGCTTCCAAACAGCATCAAGAGACAAATGATCTGACAGGCAATTCTGAATATGGAACTAAAGTGCTGGCTGCCATTCTGGATGCTCAAAACAGCAGAGCCTTTCTATGGTTGGTGTGAAAGGTAGAGAATGAAAGAGATGCAAAAGATAAGAGCCGTTTCCACATAAAACGCTTCTGAATTTAAAAAGACAGTAAATTTCATTGTTCTTCCCCTCCTACCTCCCAAAGGGGGAAAAAATCAGTTTTTTGACAAATTGCATCACTCAGGAATTATACTCTCCATTAAACGTCATAAATGTGGTGTTGCAAAAGACTTTCAAGTTGATGTCATCTCTCATGTTTGCCTTGTGAAAGTTCGCCATTATTAAGATAAGGCTTCATAAAACCTTAAGACCACCTGGTAAAAATACAGCCCAGAGATTTAAACATATAAAATAAAACCACACACACAAAAAGACTCAAACAAAACAGAAAAGTTTTACAATCCTGGGGTAAAGATGACCTTTTTACTAAGCTTTACACAAAACCTAGAAATTGTAAAGGAAAAGCTTTTTATTATATAAAAATCATAAACTTGTTTGCCAAAAGTCATAAAAATAAGAATGATGTACTGAGAATACCTGTGACATATATAACAGAGTTTTCAAAACATTTAAAGTACACCAATAAATAAGAAAAAGGTTAAAAAACTGAACAGAAAATTTATCACGGAATATGAGTAAGCAATTTATAGAAGATATTAAAATGGCTTATAAGGAAAAAAATGCTCAACCTTACTACGAAAGATACACAAAGAGTAGCAAGATTATTTTAATGCCTAAACGATCAACAAAGATTAAACAGGTTAATAGGTTAGATACAGAAAAATAGGTACTGTAAACAGTAAAAATGCATAGTTATTATCATTTGAGTAATTCTGTAATAACAAAATTTTACAGGCAGATACCCTGTGACCTATCATCTCTATTTCATTTCCTATCCACCTCATTTCTAGGAATTTATCTGGTAGAAATACTCACATGAATATGAAAATACATGTACATGTGTGTAAGAATGGTTGAATTTTTATAGTACAAAATTAGAAAGTGAAAAGTCTATCAAGAGTGAGTTTATTAAAATTAAAATGTATAATATCTATTATTAATGCAGCCATTAAAAATTTAAAATAGATCAACATGTCCTGACATGGAAAGATATCAATAATATATTCTGTGAAAAAAGCAAGTCAGAAAATGATATGTATAATAAACCCTATTGATATTAATTTATATGCATTAGTGTAATTAAACTTTAAAGAGTATCTTTCAAATCTAAAAAAACTAAAATTACACGTATTATGTCTGCTAAATTTCAGTGAGCTATTTATTACCTTCATAATCAGCAGGAAAAAAATATACATTTTTTTAAATGAAAAGACAAACCCAATATTAAGTAAATGAATGACTGACAAAAATCCAATCATCTTCTGGATGACCAGTCTCTTCAGAACAAATTAAAGGACTAAAGGGAATCATATTAAAACGTTTATATCTCAGGTATCAGAAGTTTACTGAAGAAAACTGATGCTAGAGAAGAGAGAGCATAACCCAGGGATTTGAAGAGTCCACAGTGTAGTAATTACGGCATCAAGATGTGGGTCCAATGGCTGTCCTGCCTCTTCGTTATATGCATCTTCTAAGTGGATTCAAAGATAACCTCTCCATAGCAAACAGGCTTTCCTAGTTTTAATGGAGTGGAATTTCATTTAAACACCGATATCGCTAAAGATAGGTATCTGGAAAAAAAATCTCCAATAGTAGTAATTTCACTTTATCCATGACCAGAAAGAGGCAGCAATACTGTTACATACAGTAAATTAACTTTTTGGTTTAGAAAACAAATTCTGCAAGAAGTGAGTCAATTTCTTCACAAGATTTCTTTTATGATGTAACATCCTTCAAATTGGGAAACAGAAGCAACTACTGCCGTATTTGAAGATTAAAGTATCCCTTTTTGCCTCCATCTAAAAGAAGCTACACCTTTGATTAAAAGTTTGAAACAAAGCAGTAAACCATATGAATTCAAAATGCTGGGGGGAAATTAAGATATCTGTTAGTATGGAACTACCTTTTCACCAGGTGTTCCCCATTCTGAAAAGAATCCTGACTTTCCAGGATTGTTACATCTTAATTTTGGAAAAGCCTGAAAGAGCCAGTAGTAAATCTAGAAGCTTGACTAGGCGCCATACGACCCTCACTTGGGCACTGCCAGCCCCTGTTGGCTCCTCTTCCCCTTTCAGAGATAAGTAAAACTAATGGGATCTAGCTTGATGTTGTTTTTTCTACTCTCAAAAAAATTTTTTTAATGATTTTACTTGTTAAAATATATGTATTTATCATATATCTATATTTTTTGTTTATCTTAAACATACTTTCCACAAAAGGATAATCTGTCCTAATTTTTTTTTTTTTACAACTCTCTTCTACTTTTCATTTGGGAAAAAAGCCAGAGAGATGGAAAACAAAGGGATTTTATATATTTTTATTCTGTTTTCCATTTTTTTAAGTACATAATAGACAAGTACACATCCATTGTTACTTTCTAGTAGTAATATTAGATAAAATGTTAGTAAAGATGTTATTTGAGTTATCAACTAATCAAATATAGAAGCAGTCATTACCAACCCATGATATATTTCTTTGCCTTTTACTTTCCCTTATATTTGCTCTCATAAAGTCCTCAGAATTGATTTGTAAGTTTCTAAAAGACTTTTTTACTTGAATGTTCTATATGTCAACCCAACTTGAAGTTAATCTCAAGGGGCAGATGCTGTATGTAATACAGATAGGGTTGACTTCCCCAGAAGGAGTGTCTAAGCTCTAAACTATCTCTTTCCCTGAAAGACAAATGCTTACACATGTAATGTATCTCTGGGAGGACCTGGAATTTGACATTCTGTGTAGACTCACTGTTCATGAAATCAACTTAAAGAACTGTTTTAGAACATTAAAAACAACATCCACTTCCTACTGTTAAGTTACACGGATGATCTTCTTTATACTTTAGATATGCAATTAAAACAAATCAAAACCAAAATTAAAGGCTGAACCATAAAAGCACACTGCAATTTCCAAACCTTTAATGCAGCAGAGTACAAAGTCACAGTCAGGAAAGGGGCCAGGTTCTCTTCAGCCTAGTAAAAGGCAAAAAGCACTATCAAAAAAATCAAATGAAGATCCCATATGACTTTTTTCCATCAAACTTCTCAGTCCAAAAGTATATATATCACATTAAGTCATCACACTTCAAATGTATAATATGCTTTATGTAAATGTTACTTACGCAGGCCAATAATACTTTGCATGGGTAGATCACTCTGCCACTTACAAAGTGATACGACTTTTTATATCTGATTTGATCTTCACACATACCCCATGAAGTATGGCAATGGCTGTTACTTATTATGTACAAATGGAAACAATAGAAGCTCATAAGTTAAATTATTTGTCAACATCATTAAACGTCCTGACTCCCAATCCAATGCTTTTTTCACATTTCATCATGCTGGCAACATGAACCAGAAATAAGGTTTTAGGAAACTGCTTTATGGACAAATACTGAAGAAAAATTAGATTTCTGACTTACTGCTAATACTAACACTTCCTTGCTAATACTTCCTCCAGAAAACTCTATAAGCCCTTAAGCAGGTTTCCACACCTTAAACACCCCTTGGAAAAAAAAATCCTCTCAATCTATCAGTTAGTTGCAATCCTCCCCATATTACAGAGTTAAATTTCACCTTAGAACTCAAACTGAGATTTTTATTTTCAAGTTTATCTAGTGCAATACATCGAACATGACCTTTTAAACCAACTCATTTTTTTTAACTGTTTTAATTTAGTCAAAACTGCAGAACTGACAGACAAACATGGTAAGATATCACTTATATGTGGAACATAAACAATACAACGAACCAGTGAATATAACAAAAAAAGAAGCAGACTTACAGATATAGGGAACAAACTAGTGGGTGGGGGGGGGCGACACAGGGTAGGGGAGTGGGAGGTACAAACTACTGGGTGTAAGATAGGCTCAAGAATGTATTGTACAACATGGAAAATAGAGCCAATATTTTGTAATAATTGTAAACAGAAAGTAACCTTTAAAAACTGTTTAACAAATTTTTACAAATAAATTTAAAAACAAAACAAAAACTGCACAACTCCCAGGAAGAAAATTCTTGAAAATGTAAGTTATCACCTACAATATGGCAACTTCCTCATCTTAACCACTCACAAACACAAAAGCAATTCAGCCTCTAGTAGTTCTGCATTGTTAGATGAGTCTGCATTTTCTGTTTTAAAATACCCTGGGCTTAACAGGCCTTGCACTGTGTCCATATTCTTTACATGTCAGAAACTACTACTTCTAAGCTCTCAGTTCAAACTCACCTAATTTTTTAAATATTTAACTTAGAAAAAATACAATTACACAACCTAGACAATACTGTGGAACCAGTTAGTAAATCAAACATGTTAAGTAATTATGAATGTTTCTTATGCCCTGTAAATGAACCCAAATTTTTAGTGAGATATTGAGCCAACAAAGGGCACAAAATACACAAAATAAAACAATAGAAAATATTGAAAAGAAACTGAAATTTGGGGAGAGAAGCAAGGCTCCAAAGAAAAGAACCTAAGAAAACAAAGTATGACTTCTACAGCTTAAAAAACAAAAAAGCAAAAAAATAAAAACAAAGCTTCAGAATGGCTATTCTATTGAGTTAATGGACACCTGGAATTGAGGTAAACCCCATCTTTTCAAGACTGATAACTGCAAAAATACATAGACTATTCCTATCAAAGAACAATGTGGCCCTTTCTTTATGACAGAAAACAAAATGTGGGCTAAATATGCTACTTACCCAACCATATCCAACATATCCATAAGAGAAAATGAAACAAAAACATAATCCAAAATATCAGGCATATAAAACATAGTATTGATACTTGAAATAAATCGATGAAAACAAGCTTAAAGCCCCCATTTTATAATAATGTTTAACTTCTTTATTTCCACTGGCAAATGTTTACAAATAATAAATGAAAAATCCTGCTACATCCCAGATCTTTTCAGATTAATATGCCCATGCTTTGTCACCTTGAGTTAGAGTAATCATCAAGATTGCACTCCCTTAATTGAAGAAAAGTAAGCAATCTTGTCTTGATTTTACTGTACGAAAGGAAAACAGATCAAAATAAGACGAGATGTACAAATGCTAAGAATTACTGTCATATTTTTTTGTTTCCTTTCCAGTCCAACCAATGCATTTCTTGTCACTTCTCAACAACTAACTTACATACATTTAAACTTGTTATTCACAGAGTCCGTGGATGCAGTAACAGGGGCTCTGCCTATGTTGTTTTTAGTTGTTATTTGCTTTTTAAAATTAATCTTTAAAGAGTCTGTATAACTGGAATTGCTGCACCTGTGTCCTTTTCTGTAAATGAAGGTTTTTTCCTATAGAAAATTTGGAAAATACCAAAAAGTATAAAGAAAAAAATAATCTGTAGTTTCACCATCTAATCACTTTATAACTATTACACTCCTTTGAGTCTTGTTTCTAATAGACATCGAATCACTTCTAGTCCTATGGTTTAGTTAACAAAATTAGTATTACACTACTTTCTAACCTACTTTCATTTAAAAACTAGTATTTCCCACACCCTCAAATATTATTTGAGAGCGATTTTTAATAGCTTCTTTAATTAGAATCCCATCCTTAGGTTGGGTAAAGGATTAGAAATTATTTATTAAAATAATACCCTCACTTTCTCCCTTCCCTTCCCCTTTATGACCATAGCTCAGGGAAGTATAGTAAACCATTCACACTAGCGTCCAAGGTGTGATAAATACCCCCCTGAGAAAGGTGGGGCCTAATAAGATTCAAACGTTAAGCCAAAGATACGATGCGCTAATAATGACATTTCAAGTACCGTCCAGTAGATGTGACCTTATTTGAGGAAGCAAATCTCCTAAGATTCGCAGTACTAAAATAATTACCTATTCTAGCTACAAGAAGGCTCCATTCCATTTTTTAATAAAGCCAGACTGAGTGCAAATGTCTCCCACTCAACAAAGTACCTAATTGGCTGAGTTCGTTAAAATTGGCGCTCCCAAAGGCAAAAAGTTGATTCGTTAAATAAAGATAAACAGTAACGCGTACAAGGCACGGTGTGACCTGCTGCTACGGAGAGCTTATCGATTAGGAAGGGGACCGGTGGAGGCGGAACAGGATAGACAGGGAGATTTGATCATTATCAGCCAGGCTCACAAGTAGAAATCTCAAACACATTATTTAATCTTTCTCTTCCTGTCATCACGGGGCTCAAACGTCACCAAAAAAGACCGGCCGGCTGAAAACCCGGCGGGGTGACGCACATAACATCTTACCATATGGATTCTCATCAATCAGGACCGAGGAGAGCCTTAAGCCAGCCCAGCGGAGGAAGGTGGGTGCGTCCCCTAGGCTGTCGGCTCCCCCACACTCCCGGCACACCGCTCGCGTCTGCAACGCAGGGAACCGTGGCTGCAGGACCACCGGACCGGCTCCGCCACGGGGTATGCAGACCCGCCTTCCGAGGAGGCCACCCAGGCGGCCGCAAACACCGAGCGCCTAGGATCAAGCCCCCCTTCAGCGGAAACCCCGCGACCGCCTCCACCAGGCGGCTGAGCCAGGACCCCGACAGTCGGCCCGGACTCCCCTCCTGGGGTCCAAACTCGCCCAGGGCCGTACCTGAAGGAGCAGCGCCACCTCCGCCCGACGGCGTTAGCTGTCGCGGTGGCGGCGGTCACAGCTCCGAGAGCAGTGACGCCTCTCATAAAAACAACAACCTGCTCGCAGGCGACCGCAGCCGAAAGGCGGAGGGCGGCGGGGCGCCGCGGCGCATGCCGGGACTCGTAGTCCCGCCCGCGCCTTATACCGGGCGGCGGCGGAGGGAAGAACTACGACTCCCGAAGAGGAGCGGAACCCGCCGCCGGCAGGCTGCCGGAAGCTGGGCCCCGCGGCCGTGATCCTCACAACATCCGGGCCCCGGCACTGCAGAGGCGCCGCGGCCGGTTACTGTGGAGACGGCCTGCTACAGCCTCTCCGAAGGATTCCACCCTGGAAGACGGCTCCCGGGATTAGGCCGATTAGTTTACACGTATCCATCCAGCCGACGGTTCGCCTTCTCTTTGCTGCTTTAATTGGGTGTAGTAAAAGTCGGCGCTTGCTGGCCTTGCCATCCGCTGCAGGAAAAGACTGCGTTTGCCGAAAAAAATAAAGAAGATATCGAGAATGACCGAGGGCGACTGGGTGGGTTTGCGCAGAGGGCTGGATGTTTTTGACTGTCGGTACTCTTTACTATAAATTTGGGGCACCCCACCCTCCAAAAAAAACCCACCGTTGTAGGCAACCGCTGGGCTACACAGATGTAACATGCATTGCATTAAGCCAGAATTGCCTCTGAAGGTATAAAGATGATTGGGCATGGTATGCAACTCGTGCCCCATTGCAAAATGCCGTGATGGTTTTGAACAAGAAAAACGTACCTTGTTAATTTGACATCTGTTTACATTGTGTCTTGTTCAAAAAAGGATATGAGGGGAAAAAAGTATATGGTGCATTTATACTCACTGTTGATGGAAACAGTAGAAAGTTAAGGTTTAATTCTCTGTCACCTAATTGTGGCCAGAAAAAGATAAATTAAGGAAAACATGAACAAGGAGGATGGTGGGCCTGAGGGGAAACAAAAGGGTGCCTCAAAATTAGACTTACAGGGTTTTTTTGCTTTTGTTGTTACTGTAGTTAACATCAACTGTGACACAAAACCAAAAAAAAAATTTTTTTTTAATTTTATAATTACAGCTTCTATAATGGGCATTTTTATTATTTCAGTAGCTTTTTATCTTTATAAAAATGTGTGTGTGTTTATAACAAAAGACTTGGAAAAGTCAAAGTGGCCTGGTTTTCTCTAATTCTAGGAGAGCCTGAAAATTAAATTAGTAAGGAATACCATCTATTTGTAGATTTTCAAGGCACTTGCACAGTCTAATTTTAGACTTAATCGATTTTAAAAGATTCATTTATAATTTTCATTAACCTTCTTCTTCAGTAACAGTTGCTGACCCAATGTATAACCTAGCAGAGAATTTAAAGTAATCTTTTTATTATTCTTTATATTAGGCGGTTTTGTTTTTGATTGTATCTGTTTTGAACTCTACATTTTAAGAATACCAGATTTGAAGAGGGTGAAACCCAAATAAGAAAGTTGCAGTGAGGGCCTAGGACATAAAGTAAAAGCAAGGGGTATTTTTGTTTCCAAGTCCGTAAACATTTGTGAATTGTCCTGGAGGTCTAAAAGATTTCGGTAGACACTAACTTTTACAGATTGTGTGGTACGGATTATGCCAACAAAATTTTTCAGCTAATTTGTCTTCTATTTTGACTAGATTCTGTTTTCTGTATTCCATTTTGATTCAAAGTTGATCAGAATTTTACAGCCAGTTGCAGAAGGTGATTTGAAAGTCACAACCTCTGGGACTGAGGTTGCCCTGGGCAACCTGACTGGTGTCCATAAAGTAAATTAGGGTTGGTACTTTTTCTCACAAGTCACAGGGCAGCACCTTCCACCTAAGAAGCCTTCCATGTGCTGAGAGAACCTAGACATTTTGAGAAAAGCTGACCTGTTGTGATAGCGTAGGATTCTGGTGACTTACTATTCTCCAATGTCTGTGCTCTTGATATTTAAAACAAATTAATAAGCAGTGTCAAAAAACAATAAACAGCAAGATCTGATGAGTTCTACTTCCAGCTTTGCCAGCTTCCTACAAGATAATGAATGTTAGTAAATGGTAGCACACTACTGTAAAGTTTTCTTAACCTGTAAATTTCAGAACTGAATTCTGGAAGATCATGCGTATGCATTGAAGTATACCTGCAAAAAAGAAAATGTTAAAAATTGGTTCCATTTATATAGCAGCGTATCATTTACATCCGATTTTCTTTCATTTCCACAACCGCAGGTTGTTTTTTTTTTTCCCCCTTTTTTCCCAGTTTTACAGACAATATAAAAACAAAGGTGCAGTGATGATAAAGGACTGGAATCTAGGCCACAAAGTTCTTGCCTGTGCTACTCCTCCAACACTCTATTATACTTCTTCAAATCTGAACAAAAGAAAAGAAAGTGGAGTAAATACTTCACATTTGCAGGTTTGAACTCAAGATTTCAAAACAAATAGGTTCCTGACAGTGCGGAACTTAACTTTGCAGAGACATTAAGTAGAATAACCCAAGAATTCAGAGTGAGTTGGGTTAGTCTAAGAGGAACCGAACTAATCTGACCCAGATTTGATCCTCACTTAAGCGTGACACAGCAACTTGGTCAATATTCTTTCCTCCATTTTAGAGTTGGAGAAACTGAGATTATATGCTTGCTAGTTTTAAGGATTTAGAATTCTTAAAGGGTCTCAGCCTCATGAATCACAAGCATCTACTATAGAGTCTTCAAATCAAAAGAATTTTAATGCATATAAACAACCTTCTATTTAATGCAGCCTTAAAAAGTCAGAGTTACAGTACCCTGCCAATCTCTATGAGGTTAAATATAATAATATAATTTCTGATCTGGAAGGACTTAGATCTTAAGTATTCCAGAAGTTGCCAAATTTGGAGGGTTTTTTAACTACCAAATTTTTTTGCCTACATGGACACCACAGAATCATTTTTAAGAGCCTTATCACAAGTAAATATACACTTCCTTCATGTTTTTCAAATAACTGAAAATCACTTTCCTATTGCTACATTTGGAGAGCCCTTATATCCTCAGATTAGAAAAAGAAAAAAAACTAATCCATCTCCTTTGTTTTATAGACAAGGAATTTGAATCCTTGCAAAATAATTTTATCAAAGTCACGCAGCTATTATCACTGGCAACATCAGAACCCAGAACTGGTGACACCTAATATTTGAAGGTGAAGACTGACATTTTTTTTAAATAACCAGTTTCCCAACATTATTGAGCTGGTTTCCTATGTGCTTGTCTTCTAGGTAATAAAATATAAGTTCTAGGAACTTTAGATTGTTGATCACTATTTTTCCATCATCTAACAATGCCTGGTACACGGTGGGTACTCAGTATTTGTTGAATGAGTGATAAACAAGGTCCATATAGTCTGTTCCATTTGAATTCTTTCACCTTCATTATTGAAGCTTGATGTTTTTTATAGACCTGACTTTACTAAGGATAGGCATGTTATATGCATTGCTAGAAAGCAATATGCACTTTTGTACCCATTCTTTTTAATATCTTGCTCCCTCCCTCCCCAAATAGCTAAGTTACGTATATTTTAAATCTTTATTAAATTTATTATATATGTTAATTACATATTAAATTGTAGTAAATGGCACCACCATCTACCCAAATGTTTGTCCAGAAATGTGGGAGTCTTTCTTGATCTGTCCCTCTTCCTCACTATCCACATCCAATCAATCACCAGGTCCAATGAATTCTACTTCCAAAATGTGTCTCAAATTTATTTACTAGTCTCTCTATACCACCATTCTTCTATAAATCATCATCGTCAGTCACATGGAACACTGAAGCTCCTCTCCACATCCATTCAAGTCTCTGACGGCAGCCAAAGTAGTCTTACTAAAAAGCATATTACATCATGACATGCTTCTTAAAACGCTTCAATAGCTTTCCATTGCTTTTACCATAAAGATCTAAACTTTTCACATAGCCAACCAGACCCTTCAGGATCTGGCTCCTGCCCCTCTATTCTCATCTGCAGCCATTTTCACTCTAACTTACTCCACTTTGGCCATGCTTTTTCTTTGTGCCCTCCTCTATCTTTTCCTTCGCTTGCCTTCCAGTCTTAAGATTCAGCGACACTTCACCAGAATGGCCTTCCTAGGCCCTCACACTAGGTTAGAACCACCTATATGTCTTCATAAATATCCTGAATTTTTTTTCTTCATAGCACTTACCACAATTAGTCAGTTGTATAATTATTTGCTTAATGGCTATCCCCCACAAGGGTAAGATCCCTGAATGTTTATCTTGTTCCCTTTTCACTCTGAAATTAAGCTGTACGTCCTCTTCGAACTATGACCTATTGCAGTCTTACTCTATAAGTTACACGTTTTTATAAATTCTCATAGTTCTAGTACAGGATTTTAAAAAGCTACCTTGTACATACTTTTGACAAGTTTGCTCTGTACAGATATATATAATTGAATGGGTACTCTTCAATGTCCTCCAGAGAAAATGACTCCCAAAAGGAGAGTAGATGGGGCTAAGTTTTTGTTTTCTTCTCTATTGTTTTTCCAGCTTTATTGAGGTATAATTGACATATAAAATTGTGTAAGTTTAAGGTACAACATGATGCTTTCATATACATATATACTGTGAAATGATTAACAATAAGATTAGTTAATATGTCCATCACCTCACATAATTACAAATTTGTGTGTGTGGGTATGGTGAGAACATCTACTCTTTTAGCAACTTTCAATTATATAATACAGTATTGTTAACTGTAGTCACCATACTGTACATTAGATCCCTAGAACTTACTCTTCTTATAACTGGAAGTTTGTACCCTTTGACCAACATCTCTCTATTTCCCCCATCCCCAGCCCCTGGCAACCACCATTCTGCTCTGAGTTTGACTTTTTTCTTTTTTTTTTTTTAGATTCCACATATATGTGAGATCATACTGTATTTGTCTTTCTCTGACTTAACTTCACTTAGCATAATGCTCTCAAGGTCCATCGATATTGCTGCAAATGGCAGGATCCCTTCCTTTTTTATGGCTGATAATATTTCGTTGTGCGTTTGTGTGTATATACCAAAATTTCACCCATTCATCTGTTGATGAATACTTAGGTTGTTTCCATGTCTTAGCTATTGTGAATGCTGCAGTGAAAATGGGAGTACAGATATCTCTTCAAGATATGATTTCATTTCCTTCAGATATATACCCAGAAGTGGAATTGCTGGATCATATGATAGTTCTATTTTTAGTTTTTCTGGTTGTTTTTTAATTTATTAATTTATTTATTTATTTTTGGCTGCGTTGGGTCTTCGTTGCTGTGCGCGGGCTTTCTCTAGTTGTGGTGCGCAGGCTTCTCTTTGCGGTGGCTTCTCTTGTGGTGGAGCACAGGCTGTAGGTGCTCAGGCTTCAGTAGTTGTGGCACATGGGTTCGCAGGCTCTAGAGCTCAGGCTCAGTAGTTGTGGTGCACGGGCTTCGTTGCTCCGCGGCATGTGCAATCTTCCAGACCAGGGCTCGAACCCACGTCCCCTGCAGTGGCAGACGGATTCTTAACCACTGCGCCACCAGGGAAGTCCCGTATTTTTAGTTTTTTGAGGAACCTCCATACTGTTTTCCACAGTGGCTGCATCAATTTACATTCCCACCAACAGTGCACGAGGGTCCCCTTCTCTCCACATCTTCGCCAACTCTTATTCTCTCTTAACTTTATAATAGCCATGCTTCAGGTGTGGATTGATATCTCATCGTGGTTTAGATTTGCATTTCTCTGATGATTAAGGATGTTGAACATCTTTTCATGTACCTGTTGGCCATCTGTATGTCTTCTTGGGGAAAAATGTCTGTTCAGATCCTCTGCCCATTATTTAATTATATTGTTTGGTTTTTTGCTATTGAATTGTATGAGTTCTAAAGATATTTTGGAAATTAACCCCTTATCTGATGTATGGTTTGCAAATATTTTCTCCCATTCCAAGGCTGCCTCTTCCTTCTGCTGTTCTTGTGCTGCACAGAAGCTTTTTTGTTTGATGTAGTCACACTTATTGATTTTTGCTTTTATTGCTTGTACTTTTGTTGTCATATCCAAAAAATTACCAAGACCAACTCCAAGGAGCTTTTTCCCTGTGTTTTCTTCTAGGAGTTTTACGGTATCAGATCTTACATTTGTCTTTGATCTTTTTCGAGTCACTTTTTGTGAGTAGTGGGGTAAGAAAGGCTTAGGGCTAAGTTTAAATAATTCTGTTTTTTTCAGAACTTTATAATTGAGAATTATTTTATGCATTTATCTTTTAGGATAAGAAAAGTACTTCAGCTTCAAATTCAGAAACAGAAATGAAACCTGAACAACTGCCTCCTTGTGTGAACCCTGGCAATCCTGTGTTTTCATGTATGTTGGACCCAAAGACACTCCATACAGCTACCTCACTATCAAAACCTAAGATGATTATGTATAAAACCAATTCAAGTAATTATGGTGAATTTTTACCCATGCCACAGTTTTTCCCCTGCTATTATACTCCAAAGGACCAAGTATTTTCAAGCAATATCAGAGCTACTGGATTTTATCAAAATAACACTCTAAACACTGCACCTGACAGAACAAGAACCCTTGATTTTCCTAATTTTCAACACACTCTATGAAAATATATTACTCTTAAATAAAGAGAAAATATACTCGGCAAAAATGAGTTTTAAATCTAAGTCTAGGATAGCTAATTTGAAATATAAAAAGATTTGAATTAATTTTTTAAAAATACCTTTAAGAAATAAAGCATTTCAACTGATAACTGAATGACAGTGACTTCTTAAATAAAAATGTGTTCAAAATAGAATAAAAGGTAGAAAGCATTTTATTATACCTAGCTTTATTTAGTTCATGTAGTCCAAAAGCTTCAAAAGGCTTTCAGGATCTCAACTGTCTACTGAGTATATTTATCAAGACAAAGGAACACAGGAACTGTAATTTTGAAAACTGAATTAAGGAAGATTCTGATGAGTAATTTCCTACTTTTCTGTTATTTCAACTAATAGCTTAGAACCTGGGGAATGTTAGTTCACACTGCTAAACTGGTAGAAGAGAGGACTTGTTATTCATTCATTCATTTAGCAAATATTTATTGAACACCTACTTATGGCAGGTGCTATACAATGCAAATGGAACACAGAAATAGAAAAGTGTCTTTTATTGTTTCAATAAACAATATTTGGGGGGAATGAGAGTAGCAAATTAACAATACATGATAATTTATGTAATGTAAACTATGTAAAAGTTCTTTCAGACACAGAGAATTGCTTAAATTGAGACCAAGATCAGAAGAAACATTCTGGAGAAGGTAAAGCCAAACCAAAGGAAAGGTCCATCCAGGCAGAAGAAACCTTACTTATACAAGAATGAAAATGTGAGACAATGTTGCACATTTTTACAAGTGCAATTACTTTTTTTTTTTTTTTTGGCCTCATCATGCAGCTTGAGGGATCTTAGTTCCCCGGCCAGGGATTGAACCCAGGACGTGAAAGTGAGGAGTCCTAACCACCGGACCACCAGGGAATTCCCCAAATGTAATTACTTTGCTACATCTTTAACATAGAGCATGAGCAGTGGTAGATTATGGGCTATACAATTCTTTAAACTCTGTAATTCCACTATATAGAGAGATTTATTTCAGCTGCCATCTGTTGAAACCTCCTGTTCAGTTGGATCTGAGTACCTTTACTGGAAAAAAAAAAAATCACTGTTCTTATTTTTCCCTGTTGGTTTCAGGTTCAGGATATTAACATCAATTAGAAAAAGTAATCTTGTGAGTCACTAGGGGACCAGAAAAGTTGAATCTTCTATATACAAAAATGGCTTGATGTGAGGAAACAGCTCAGACTCTGCAGCCTGATGAAATTCTTTAAAATATCCCAAAATATGATATTTGGCACAAGAAAGAAAAAAGAATTAGTTTTGTTCACTTCCTCTAAAACATCAAAAATCAAGGCACTGCACAAGATTTCCAGGTAAATGATGCAACAGAATTTGAGTTTACCAGATTTTTCTCTGCATAAAGTATACAAACCCTTTTCCCCCTTCACTGTAGGTGCTTGATTTGTAGAAAGTGAAGTCAACTTTTTAATATGTAGAATCTGGAGGTTAACCTAAAGTTCCTTACTATGACAGGTGGTTAGGCCTTTTGTTTTGTTGTTCTTGCTAAAATTCTTAGGAAGGATGAGTATCTTGGAATCAAGCATATTGTCTGGAATGCAATTATGTAGTCATTCAGTGCCTATCAAAGTCCAGGGACTATTCTAGGCACTAAGAGCTTGCCTTCATGGAGGTTAGATTCTAATAAATTCTAGTAGGGGAAAACAGACCAAAAGACATATGTATAAATATGTATACATATTTATATATAAATGTTATAGAACATAAATGTTTATATGTTTATGTTATACATGTATGTATGTATAACATAGACATATAAATATACATGTGTAAATATGTAAATGTAAAATACGTGTACATATTTATATGTAAATACTTATGTCCATATATGTATAACATTTATGGCACATAAATTTTATTTATGTAAATATTTTATTTGCATGTTATTAGCATGTAAATATTTATATATGTCTATATGTATACCACCTGGCCCTGCAGCTGGTATCCCCCTAGGCCCTAGAGCACGTGGGGTAAGAAGAGGGCGTGGCCAATAAGGAATGAGGGAGAGAGATCGGATATCACCAGAGCCCTGGGGCCTGCAGGACAGTCTGCTTTGACCATAAGCTCCATAAAGGTGAGGGCCAGGTCTGGCTGGTTGATCCTTAATTCCTCAATGCCTGGCATGGTGCCCTGTGGGCAAGCAGCTCCTGTCCAGCAGCCCCTCTCCCAGGATGCTGGCTTTCACCTGGATGCCGCCACCACCACCTCTTCCCCTGTCTCTGCAGGGCACGTGGGCGAGAGGCTTCCCTTTATGGGCAGCTGCTGGGGGCACAACATCTCTTACTACTTCTGGGAAGCTACCCAAACCTCTGTAAATAGTCACTTCACTAAAAAGCCTTTTAAACGCCGCAGCTGAGTGCACTCTCTGTTTCCTGCCTGGACTCTGACAGGTCCTTAAAGGGAAGAAAATAGGAAAAGGATCAACAGGAGCCTGGAAGGATAAGGGGGCTTCTCAGAAGTACTTATACAGCCCCAGGAGGAACAATTCTTGTTATTCCCTGTACTCACCCACTGAGGGGGAAAAGGACTTAGAAAGGACTGCGTGAGGCCCACTACATGATGGCCGGCCTGAGTCACACCAGCTATCCCGTGGTTAGTGGCTCTCTCCTCTCTATGCCCCTCAGTGTTTGGTTCTATCTAGCTAGGAATCCTTGATAAGGTGGGATTTTACTACTCTATAGGCCTGTCCCCCACACTGGACTGAAAACTCCTCAAAGGCCAAGATTTGGGTTTTGGCCATTTCTGGGTCCTGCCCAGTTTCTCACAGGCTGCCAGGCACAGAGGAAGCCCTTGAATGGATTCACATGAAGAAGGAATGAAGGTTTCTCCCACAAAAGAACCTGTAGGCCCACCCTTCTAAAATCCCCGCCTTCCAAGGTGATGAAACCACCTCAGAAGCCCGTGGCCAGGCCCTGAAGGCTAAAGAGTATTTGACACTGATGATGCCGGAAGGTGACTAAGCTGCTGAGTCAAGAAAACCAACTTCCTCTTCCAAGACGGTTGCCTGATCTACCCTCAAGCTGTTTCACCCAGACACATCCTGGCCTCATGCTTGCCTGACACCTTTGCCTGCTTCTTCAAGGGCCTCCAGTTTCGCTGAAACAGCTTTCTCATTCTTGTACCCTTTTGTTCTGTTGCTGTCTCAGATGTTATCCAAATGATCCATTCTAACCCCTTCACACCTTGATCAGGAGACCCTCACCACACAAAGCCAACAGTGTGGACCACATCCTCCCATCCCCAAACCAGGATACAGTCATTTGCAACCAGGGGTGTCCCAGGAAACCTGGGATAAATACTCATCATATCTATAGAACCGACACTAAACCTTGATCCATTTTTAACGTAAATGGTCTTAATAACCACAAACATATGGGGGAGAAGAACAGTAAACAAAGCTTAACTGTTTTGTTGACAAATTGACTGTAGTCTTCATAGGCATGGTGACCATATTCTGTAATTTTCTAACGCAGTGGTTTTTTTTTAAATCTTAATTTTATTGGTGTATGGTTGATTTACAGTGTTGTGTTGGTTTCAGGTGTACAGCAAAGTGATTCAGTTATGCATATACATATATTCATTCTTTTTTAGATTCTTTTCTCTTATAGGTTATCACAGAATATTGAGTTCTCTGCGCTGTACAATATGTCCTTGTTGGTTATCTATCTTTATAGAGTAGTGTGTGTATGTTCATCCCAAGCTCCTGATTTATCCCTCCCCTCTAATGCAATGTTAATTTCAAATGTTCCATTAGTGGAAACATTTTTAATGCTGAACATTATGATTCATGTTGTATTGTTTTCAATAAAAGCAGTTCTTTATGTGTATATATTTTTTAAAGGCTGCAAGAAGTAAAAACTACATTTTATTAGTTTTGCTGTATACTGAACAGAGAAATGGGATGATAGCTGGAAACAGATATGGGGGCAAAGGTTACTTTTTAAAGACAGGATCATAATATAGCATGTTTGTATTTTGATGGAACCACATTTGGAGAACCTCTCGCCCACAGTAATCAGTTCCATAGAGAAAATGTAGCTAAAGATGACTACACAGTAATGTTTCTTTAACATGGACTAAAAAAGCTGAAGTGTATAAAATCAAAGGCACAGATAGGATGAACACAGAATTATTCACCAATTTATAGTATATTTAGAACTAGGATACGTAAGAACAATAAAAAAAAGCATTAGCGTATGGACTGTAAAGTATTAATTTAACTATTTTGTGAGATACACTAAATAAAGTAGTATATTTGGAATATGCTATCCTAAAGTATAAAAAATAAACTTACTCTGTAATTTTTCCAAAAAGAAAGACTCCATTTCAGATAACAGTTTGAACAATCTATTCTCCTGGAAGATACTTAAAGCAAATTAATTTGAAAACTCACATACTTTAGGCAAACTTTCCTTCCTTTACACAATTATCAGAATATTTGAAGTTTTACCTCCATTTATTGACTGATCATTTCTTGAAATATAGCATGAACTCTCACCTTCAAATGAAACTGAAGGCTTACCTTCCCAAAGGAATATTTTACCAATTTGTTCAGGTCTTTTTCCTCTTTTAGCTATAATCTAAAAAGACTATCATAAATATAATTTACCCCATCAATAATCTAATTAATATATTTGACCAAATAATGTTGGTTGGTTTTTACTATCTATAATAGCTCAAAATTATTCTGAGTTTATTATGTTCTAGGCACTATACTAAGCAGTTCGTTTATTAAACAAAAACCATGTTCATTTAGGTCATAAAAAGGCTAAAATGAAGTATGTTCTAAGTACTGTCAAAAGTAGCTCCTTGAAGAGAGTATCTTAAGAGAGAGATGGTCTTAGAGTCATATGCCTTTAAAACATTTTAGAAGGGCAAATCACAACATCAACTAAATAAATTACTCAATTAATGTTCTTTCAGAGAAAAAAAAAGAAGGGCAAATCACACTTCAAAGAGAAGATGCTGGTAACCTTGTCATGACCTGAAGAATTAACCTGGTTTTATTGTTAGTACACCAGAGTTAGTTACAGTGAAGTATGTCTTAAGGCTTGTAAACAAAGGGAATTATCCTAAACTTTGTAGGAAAAAGGAAGCCTGTTATGTAGAATTGCATATATGATGCCATGAAACATTCCATTCATTAAACATCATCCGTGTTCTGAGTCCCTGTTTGCCAAGCAACTTTATTTTGATTTACCATATCAAATCTGCTTATAAGAGAAATGAATTTTCATTTAACCTACCGTGACAATGAACATCCTCAGTCAATTTCTGATTATGAATCAATAATAAGTAGGCAGTCTGTTTTATTTGTCTCCTGAGCTTGGTTAATGTGACTCTGATCCTTAAAGATGGGCCAGCTCTTGAGGGTGCTCTTGGGTCTTTGAGAGTGAGACTGAGCCAGATCAATTCAATAAGGTAATGAAACACACCCTTGTTATCAGGCTTTTTGGGAGATCATATACCAACCTTTTCCCCAGATGGTATGTGCAAAAGTCCTTTGCTTTTTTATTCTCCACATAGATGAGGTTTGTTGGAAAGAACCTGGCTTGCCAATGGCAAGTGGTCTCTCCTTGCCCAAACGCTAAACATGCTCCTCTGAGCCACTTTTTCAACTAGGCCTCATCCTTGTGTAAGCAGATGGGGTAGGGGTTCCCTGGAGAAAGAACTAGATATAGCTTCTTGACATAAGAGAAGCCATTTTAGGCCTAAGCCATTTTGTGATCTAAGCCTGGCCACAATGCTTGCCTTTGAATAGGTCTCAGTAATAATGATCTTAAGGGAATAAAAGAACAAAGAACTCTTATCAGGCAAGAGAAGGAAGAATAGCAAAGATAACAAATCAGATAATAAAGACTCAGTTCATTTCAATGGTAAAGATTAGCCTGAAGCACTTTTTTGAGCTGTTCTGCAGAATTTAAACCCCCTCCAGGGCTCAAACACCAGATCTACTGGAAGCTAAGGGATGTTGACCTTTTCTGACCCTCATAGCTTCAATCACGCTTGGAACTCTGTCGACCTTTGCCCCAATTCTAGGCAGAATTCTCTGCTCAAGCTCCTTCATAAATATGCATACACCAGCCAAGCCCCCTCATGAATATACATGTACCCTTAGCTGAAAACTTCCCTAATTTTGCTGTTCAAGGATACACTCCTTTGGGAAAGATCGCCCGTGTTCTCCCTACTTACTGCAAATAATAAATGGGTCCTTCTTTCGCTCCTTCCCTTGGTTGCGTCTTTTGGCTCGACATCACCAAGAGGTGAACCCAGTTTTCGGGTAACACTTGGGCCTTGTCCTTAAGAGCCTAGTTGTAACAAGACTCTTGTTAAACCCTCTCCTTCAACTCCACGCAAGCCTGACTCTTAAGAAGTGCCCTCCTGGAGGAGCTCAACACAGGGTCACAGGGTCACTGGTGAAAGCAAAGGGGAGAGTAGAAACTGATCTGAGCTTATGCTGAAACTTGAAACTGCTATGGATATGGAGGTCAGAAGGGAGCATGGGCATGAATCCTGAATGGTGGAGAAACTCGAAACCATCACAACCAAGAGGTGGGTTCCATGACACCCGCCCCTCAGGTGAGCAGCCCCGACTCCTTTGCCCCCATGAGGGAAGCCCCACTCACCTGACTTGTCCCCCTGGAGTGAAAAGAGGCCCCACTTTTGAGTGTTGTGTGTCAATAACAGTGTTGTGTCACCGGTGGTCATGTTGATTAGCTGAAGAGAATAAGATTTAAAAAAAAAAAATCTTGTTAAATCGGTTTAACCACAATCCCACCATCAACATCTGATCACCTTCAATATCTAACCAAATTCCTCATCTCTCACCATCTCCCAGGTGATATCTGATCAAAATGGCCTGCCTTCAGCAGGAATCCTATTAGGTTAGTTTAGCCAGAATCTCCCTACCCCTGATGTTTCCTCTCAGTAATTTTCTATCCACTGACAAGCCACCCCCTTCCCCACTTCCCCCCGACCCCACTATTGCTCCTTGGCTATAAATCATCACCTGTCCATTCTGTAGTAGGAACTGAACCCAGTTCTATACTGAGTGCTCTTTTCTCCTATTGTAATAGTTCCTGTAATACTTGTTTTTACTGCTGTAACTACTGTCCAGCTCTAGTATTTTGTGATACTAGGAAACTGGAACAGGATATGTTTACTTAAATACATGTGTTTACTTTCCATTTAACTATTAGACAGCATTTATCTATTAGGAGTAATACTTTTACTTCTGTCAGTAAAGAGCTAAAATGTGTAAAAGAAAAGTTATCCCAAACCTGGTCTGGGACAAACCTTTTTTTGCTTGATGTAATTCTCTTTCTGGAAAGAAAGGAGGAAATGAGCATCCCTGACAAAATGCTTAAGCACGTTTAATGAGATAGAGACACATTTTGTGAAACTAGTTACTTACCCACCCTAGCTGACTCTCACGTGATTGTCAGTCAAGAGGCAAGTGGCATGTAAGAAAATACTCTTTTTAAAAATCTAGTCTAGGACTTCCCTGGTGAAGTGGTTAAGAATCCGCCTGCCAACGCAGGGGACGTGGGTTCGAGCCCTGGTCTGGGAAGATTCCACATGCTGTGGAGCAACTAAGCCTGAGCACCACAACTACTGAGCCTGCGCACCACAACTACTGAAGCCTGTGCGCCTAGAGCCCATGCTCCGCAACAAGAGAAGCCACCTCAATGAGAAGCCTGCGCACTGCAACGAAGAGTAGCCCCTGCTCACTGCAACTAGAGAAAAGCCCACGTGCAGCAACAAAGACCCAATGCAGCCATAAATAAATAAATAAATATTTTGAATAATAAATAAAAATGTAGTCTAACAATAATCTAATTATTTCCTATTCCTATTTCCTATTATTTCTGTTAAAGATAAAAAATCACAGGCCCCAAATGGCAGCACTTGTGTTAAAAGCCCATGATTTAATACCTAACCTAACTGCAGTTTTGACCTTTCCCAGAAATGTAATCTTAATCAATCAATTTGGAATTTGCTGGTCAGCACCAAGAGGTAATCTGTCACTTGGGCCCTCTCCAACTCCCGCCAACCCCCTAAAGGAAGAAGCAGCAATCTGCCTGACAAAACCTTTCCCAGCAAAAAGATGTCTTAGCCTAAAAATAATCCATTATTTTTTTTCATCAATAGCTCCCTTGTGCCCCACCCTTCGTTCTATAAAAAACTTCCCTTTTGTACAACCCTTCAGAGGGTGCTTCTAGTTGCTAGATATGATACTGCTTAAATTATGAATCACTGAATAAGTCCAATTAGGTCCTCAGACTTTGAACTCGGTTTTTTAACATTTCCTATTTCTATAAAGCATCAATTGCAAAATGGACTAACTAGCAGTTTTTCCTTTGCATGCAAAATTGGGATATAGCTTTGATATTTATTACCAACTTTGCGGAGAAGTTTTCTTTAATTAATGTGTACACTGTGTATTTATGTAATAAGCAGTTATGGTAGGGGGTCCTCAGAGAAAGAGATCCAGGCATGGCTTTCTTGACATAAGAGAAGCCATTTTAGGCCTAAGCCATTTTGTGATCTAAGCCTGGCCACAATGCTTGCCCTCAGTAATAATAATCTTAAGGGAACAAAAGAACAAAATACTCTTATCAGGCAAGAGAAGGAACAACAACAAAGACAACAAATCAGATAATAAAGACTTCCCAGATCTATTTCAATGGTAAAGATTAGCCTGAAGCTAATTCTTGAGCTATTCTTGAGCTGTTTTGAAGAATTTAAACCCCCTCCAGGGCTCAACCACCATATCTACTGGAAGCTAAGGGATGATGATGTTGACATTTTCTGACCTTCATGACTTCAATCAACTAAAGCTTGGAACTCTGTTGACCTTTGCCCAATTCCATGCCGAATTCTCTGCTCAAGCTCCTTCATGAATATGCATGGACCCTTAGCTTAAAACTTCCCCAAGTTTGCTGTTCTGGGAGACACTGCCTTGGGAAAGATCCCCAGTGTTCTCCTTACTTGCTGCAAGTAATAAATCCTTCCTTCTTTGGCTTGGTCATGTCAAAGGACTACCATGACAATTTTTTCTTTTAATAATTTTATTCATAGGCTTTAATGATCACACTATTATTTGGGAAACATGTTTTTATCATAAATGAAATGGGAATGTCTAGATCTATATTTTAACTCTATCACTACTTCAGTCTAAGACAGAAGTCCCTTAATAGAAGATTGCTCAAAAAAAGGTCAAGTGAATACAAATGAGTGTCTGTTGCTTTTAAACCAAGACTTAGAAGATAGGGTCAAAAAGAATAACTAACTACTTAAGACTCCCTTCTTCTACCTCCTCCAAAAATAGATTCTTTTGCTCTTATGGTAGCTATTGGGGCCAGTTTTTGTTTTCTGATTGAAATAGTAATAGGAATGAGACAGGAGGGAAGGGGGCAGGGCACAACCTTTAAAAGAATGACACAGCCATTGAGGATGCAGGAAAAAAACTAGTTAGAACCAACTAGGTCCAAGATGGCAGAAGATTCAACTTCCAGTAGCCCTTGAGCCTCATTACACGCTCATTGTAATATCAATACATTAGCTAAATGATACATCCACAGGCACCATGACAGCTCCAAGGCTGACCATAAAAGGCCAAAAAGTGGGCCGTGGCCCAATTCCTGGAAATCCCTGCCCCTTGTCCAAGATAGTAGGAATAATCCTCCCACCTATGAAATTACCCAGCCGTAAAAACTATCCCCCCCACACCTCAGCACCACTCTTGCCTTTTGAGACGGACCACCTTCTGACTATGGAATGTGTATCTCTCTAAACAAACCTGCTTTCGCTTTACTATGGCTTGCTCTTGAATTCTTCCCTGGGCAAAGCCAAGGACCCTCACTTGGTGGCCTGTCCCAGGGACTCACCCAAGACCTGGGACATGACCATACTCGTGTGCCCCATTTTTCCTGCAACAGGAAGAGCCTGAGGAAAGACTAGTTTGGTTTAAGTATTTTGAATGTCAAACTGGTATGTGTCAAACAGAATAACCACCTCTATTTTGGTTACATTTATTTTTAAAAATAAAAGCAAACCAGGGGAACTTCCCTGGTGGCACAGTGGTTGAGAGTCCGCCTGCCAACGCAGAGGACACGCGTTTGAGCCCTGGTCCGGGAAGATCCCACATGCTGCGGAGCAACTAAGCCCGTGCACCACAAATACTGAACCTGTGCTCTAGAGCCTGTGAGCCACAAGTACTAAGCCCGAGTGCCACAACTACTGAAGCCCATGTGCCTAGAGCCCGTGCTCGGCAAAGGAGAGGCTACCACGATGAAAAGCCCATGCACCACAACAAAGAGTAGCCCCCGCTCACTGCAGCAACAAAGACCCAACACAGCCATAAATTAATTAATTAATTAAAACAAAAAAACCAAACAAGTGTTGATTATAAGAAAAAAGCAATCCTGTCTCACCAGAAGGTCTGATAACTGGGCAGAACTGCTATAGAAGTTATCAAGAGTTGCTTTATAGAAGTACAAATTTCAAGGTTGCTGAACTAGGATACTCTTACATATTCAAAAAAGTACTGCATTTTTTCTTTAAGAAAGAGGCTGTTTTATGATCCACTTGAATGACACCTGATGAACAAATACTATAAAACTTACTCCTAAAAATTTTGTTTTGTTTTCCTAAAAATCCTCTACATACAATCACAGAGAAATGTGACAGCTGTTGGATGCAAAAGGGAAGCTGTACTGGTTTTGCTTAATGCTTGCATCATCACAGAGATACAACACAAGTGGTGGTGCAATGCAGTGTCAGTATCATAATACTCTAAGTTAACATTTTCACCTTTGCTTCCTTTTTTTAAAAAAATAAATTTATTTATTTACTTTTGGCTGTGTTAGGACTTTGTTGCTGTGAACGGGCTTTCTCTAACTGCAGCGAGCAAGGGCTACTCTTCGTTGCGGTGTGTGGGCTTCTCATTGCGGTGGCTTCTCTTGTTGCGGTGCATAGACTCTAGGCGCACAGGCTTCAGTAGTTGTGGCTCTCGGGCTCTAGAGTGCAAGCTCAGTGGTTGTGGTGCGTGGGCTTAGTTGCTCTGCGACATGTGGGATCTTCCCGGACCAGGGCTCGAACCCATGTCCCCTGCATTGGCAGGCGGATTCTTAACCACTGGGCCACCAAGGAAGTCCCTGCTGCCTTCTTTTGTTTTTTCCCTGATGTACTTGAAGGTACTAGAAAAAATCTCACTAGAAAATTTATCATCACCAGATAGTGTTATGAAATATGATCGACACTTTGGCAAACACTTCCCACAACTAAAGTTGAAGATAAGGTTTCCCAAACAGTTGTTTTACTAGGGTAAACTGGTCTAACCTCAAACAACAGGTAGCAGAGCAGTATTTTTTTAAAAGAAGGTTCTGTGCATTTGGAAACTAAGTCAAAACATCCGTATTGATTATACCAAGCCCAATCATTCAGACAATTAAATAGAGTAGTATATAATACAAACAAAAATACTTTATAAATACAATCTTTTATTTTAAACTTCTTCTTGTTAAAAATGAATCAGTAAGCGTCCTGGTAATCACAGCAACAAATATTTTGTTAGTTATAAGGGCAAGCTGAATTCAGTAACAAAAAAATATAATTATGTTGTAATATGAAACAAATAATTAAAATAGATTATTCTTACTTTTACTTATTCAAAAACCACTGAAATCAAACATTTCATTTTCTACAGATTTATAATATTCTTCCCTGTACAGAACTAAAGAGAAAGTGATTCTGTATAATCAGCCATAATATGCACAGATTCCTAATGCCTCCAGTTATTTTTGTAAAACTTAGAACAATACCTAGTACAATACCTAGTTGCTTCTAGTAGTCATTAAGATTTTAGTTCTGTTCCTTGAATTATATTCCGAATCTTCTCAGCATCATTTTGTACAATTTTGTTGGATGGATCAATCTTAAGGGCAGCTTCATAATCCTGTAGGCCTATATTTATATAGCAATGATGATGAATAAAATATTTTATAAATACTTGTGTTATCTAAACAATATTTTTAAAAAATAAAAAGAATCATTAAATCCATGGTTCAGCACAAGCAACAGGTTTTAGTCAGATTCCCATTTTCACATACATGGTCTCTAAGAGACTGAAGAAATTTTTCAGTAATTTCAGAAATAATTATGATTTCATTCAAGATTCAGTAAGAAGCAGTTTTTTTAAACTGAAATACAAATAAGCTAACAGCTTAAATTCATTAAAGCATGAATAGACTCAAAACTCATATATCAAAAGGACATTTTTATCACCTCAATGAAAAAGTAATAAATGTCATCTTATTTCAAAATTCTAGATTTAAAAAAATAATTTTGGTAGACTCAATCCATACTTTATATAATTTACAGACTATAGTTTGTGCTCTTTTTTTTTCTAATTATCCTATCTACAAAATTTCTTTGAGGAAAATTGGTTAAAAAGGAAAGCATTGTGGACTGGATGTTAAAAAATATATAACTGAATCTAAATCTTTAACAAAAATATCAGTGAGAAGAATTTCTAAGGAAACTTGACTTCCAGGTGCTATTGATTTGCCATGCCACTTCAGGCAAATCACTTAATGTCTCTAAGTCTCCATTTTCTCATCTTTAAAATGAAGGGAGGGTCCTTTTAGCTCAAAAAAGTCTAGGATGCTGTAATTCCTAAAGAATGCTTACAGTGTTTCATTCCTGTCTTCATAATTTTTATCCTCATGAAGCTGAATAAGACTCTTAAAAAAAGGATAGGCATATAAATCTAATTTGGATGCTTTGGTTGGAAAAACCTAAAAATGGCAGAAACAAGCTTACAAACAAGTCAGAAATAACAAAACTTTATAAGCTAAAGCCAATTCCCTGGCAAGACATCATCAGGAATAGGCCTTTAGGCCTTGAATAAAGGGAAACTGAACGGGAATCTGGGTAGGGAAGTATGGGAAGAAGAGCACTGAAGATAAAACTTGGGGGCAACATGAGTAACTGCAAATAGTCCTTAATTACATTAAAAATGAAAAACAATAAAAATTAAATTAAAACAATAAAAATTAAATAAATATGGCTTCCATACACATGAGACTGAATTACAAACCTTAGTACGGTCTCACAAAAATAAGCAATTGATCATACATTGTGGTAGATCAGTTATTTCAGAGCTTATGAATGTATGTATGTATATATGTATGTATGTAGTGTCTGTGTGTCTGACCAAAGAAGCTCATTTTAAAATTTCCATTATATCTTAAGTGACTCATTTATCACACATCTTTCCACAAAAAAACCTGTCTGATACTACAGCATCTCCCTAGACCTAGAGAGATGTTTATATCTTGTGTTAATTCCCTTCTACAACAATGATTTTTTAAAATATTTCAAATCATCTTTTGTTTTGTCAGATAAATTGCAAAGAATAAATTAAATGCTAAAAGTATAAAATAATGGAGTCATCTTGAATAATGGCAATGACTTTTTTTTAGAGTATAACTTGGAACTTAAAACATTTCTGTCATTTCTTACCTTCTACATACAATTCTAGTTGACAGAATGCTGTTCCACGTCGTATGTGTGCCTTCATTCTTGCATTAGCATTGTCTGCAACAGGTGGTGTCAATAATTCTAGTGCCTTACAAAAAAAAAATAGGGAAAAATATAATTTCCTAATTTAAACTTGAGCAAAAACATGATAAAACTCAACTTTAAAACAAGCCTCAAGCCCTCACCCACCTAAATTTTTGGCTTAACTAGGACAGGAATTTATCAAATACATCCATTTATGTTGAACAATTTTAGGACTTGTTCAACTGTTCCTATATGAGATTCATACCCTTGCCCCCAAACTTATGATTTAGTTTATCATTTGAAACCTCTACAGCTTTACCTTTACTAGCAGGGATGATTAAATAGCATTAATTTAATTAATGCTATTAATTATAGTATTATATATACTATATATAATGCTTTTATATTTAAATTTGGTGATTCCGTTTATTCATTCATTCAATAAATATTTGTTTGTGCCCGAAATTATGCTACTAAAAGGAAAATTGGATCACAAAAATATTGTCACATCTTCAATAGCTTAATGAGATCAAAATATGAGGACTAGGGCTTCCCTGGTGGCACAGTGGCTGAGAGTCCGCCTGCCGATGCAGGGGACACGGGTTCATGCCCCGGTCCGGGAAGATCCCACATGCCACAGAGCGGCTGGGCCTGTGAGCCATGGCCGCTGGGCCTGCCCATCCAGAGCCTGTGCTCTGCAACAGGAGAGGCCACAACAGTGAGAGGCCCGCATACCGCAAAAAAAAAACAAAAACGAGGACTTGATTGTTTCCTCCATATCCTCAATCTCAAGGAGACACATAAGAGATTTTGCATGTGATTTCCCTTAAAACAAGTTACTCTGATATGGGGGGGGGGACAGAAAAAACTAGAAGTTTAAGAAAATGACATGATATTCATAATGGAAATTAGAATATACTAAGTTACTCTGAAAATGGAAAAATAATCATGGAGATATCCTTTTACTGTGCAAGCGGTAGTGACACCAAGTGTTCTTCTATCTCAGAAAAAAGCTGAGCACAAACTGACAACCATTTACTAATTTCCTTCTGAACTTCAACTGATACACCAGGGCAATTGATAGGGGATCTCTAATCTAAGTTGAAGTCTCAAGAAACACTAGTTCCTTGCCCATTAAAAAAAAATTCTTTTGGGGGGGAATTCCCTGGGGGTCCATTGGTTAGGACTCTGTGCTTCCAATGCAGGGGACACAGGTTCGATCCCTAGTTGGGGAACTAAGATCCTGCAAGCCACGTGGCATGGACAAAATTTTAAAAAAGTATTTTTTTTCAGTAAAAAGATGTAAAAAGCAAGATTCTTAAAATCCTTGCAACTCACTTATTCAAATTTAACTGACAAAAGATAAGGGCATCATTTAAACAAATAAATAGGAGCATAACAATTTTAAAGCACCATATATAAATAAATAGATACACATACCTTAGAAGAATCTTCTATGGCCTTGTGTAAGTTTTTCAGTTTTAGATGGCAAGCAGCCCGATTCAAATACAGTAGTGGAATCTTATTATTTAGTCTTATGGCTAAGTTGTACGCATTAATAGCTGCCAAATAGTTTTCTGTTGCAAACAATTTGCTAATGAGACAAAAACATAAAAGAAAAACAATGTAACACTAAAAGAGAAACACAGAAATAATATCTAATGATATTTGGCACAGGGGATGGATGGCTTCCTTTCTTTCCATTCCTTGTAAAATGGACATTGCGGGTGGCACTAAGCCCACCTATCCTCCATACATCAGCATGTAATCTGAACGGGACTGACCTCATCTCCACCTCCAAGGGTAGCCAATCAATAGCTTAAGCCAACAGGCATATTTCCATCCACCCTGCTACAATGATTGACAAAGAGATGGATTTATGACCTAAACTGGTCTATTGAGAATGAAGCCTGTGATTTTATTACCAAAGTTGGAGAAAGAAAAATTGGGAAAACTCCCCCTGCTGGACACAAATGAAGAAAGCATATAAGCCCAAATTGTTGCTGACCATTTTTCATACTGTGGGAGGAGCTAGCACTAGAATAAAGTTGATACTATTGAATTATGAAAAGGATAAAAAGGCAGTTAAGCTGTTGGATCAAGCTTTACCCGAAATGTAACACACCTTTAGCTTTTTAGTTATATAAGCCAATAAATTCCTTTAAACATTAAGTCAGTTTAAATTGGGTTTCTCAGTTACTTGCAAAACAAAAGCATCCTAATAAATACACTCTTTCAGTTCAAACCTTCCAAAATTCTCTTCAAATAAATAGATGTACATAATTAAAGGATGTATTTAAAACATAAAGCATCTTGTTCGTTTTTCATGTACAGTTCCTGGTATTTCGAAAAATGCATAAACCAAGGAAAATAGAAAATACTTTGCCAAATATAAAAGTGCCATAAAAACAACACTTTGTACTTTGTATTCATTTCCAGTGGATTGTACTGTACACTTTACAATTCTAGAATAATAAACACGATGACTTCAAAAGTAGACCCATAAAATGAGACAGCAAATCATGAATACAAGGTAAAATGACACCACTGTGACATTTAACCTAAGCCTGACTCAAGTTTAGAATAACATCCTCAAACTAGAAAAGCTAATTCTGTGGGAACAGTTTACCTTTCTGAAATGTCTCATTTCAGCTAGGATGTTTCTGACTGCAAGGAACAGAAGTTCAACTCAAACTGGTTCAAACAAGGAAGGAAATAGATCACCTCACATTAAACAAGTTCAGAGGGAAAGGCTCCATGCCCAATATGGTCAGCAGAACAAGGATCTTACCAAGGCCTCAGGTTCCTTCCATTTCTCCACCCTACAGGACTCAGCAGCTACTTCATCCTGGAGCTGGTTTTCCTCATGCACAGTTCAAGGTGCCACATTCAGGCACAATATTCATTAGGAGAAAATGGGACGGTATTTTCTGCTATATGCTCCTTGAGAGCAAGAAAACCTTGCCCAGAAATCTCCCAGTTCACTTCCTTTCCCATCTCACTGACCAAAAATATCTATCCTTAAAATATATTTTGCCTTAAAAAAAAAATTTTTGCCTTAAAAAAACCCACCAGTTTCTCCTGTTCTCAATCCTTCTACCCATTCTCTCTCTCTCTCTCTCCAGTTTCACTCCTCAATGCTATATACTACTGCTCTTTGGGAACGTTTTAAAAAAATTCAACAATATGACCATCTGTCCATGTTAATAAATATAGAGATATACTATTTTTGCAGAGATTTTTACAGACCACTCTCTCATTTGTGCAAGGATTTCTAAAACCAGTCTCCTCCTACTGAGAGACACTTAGGTGTTTTGTTTCCCAATACTTAGCTTTTATAAACAATATTATAATACACATTACTGCACATATACATAAAACATACACACACACCAGCAGTGTAATGAAAGTAATCCTGATTTGTTGCAGTCAATCAGAATTTATAGCTGAACTTGCGACAGAGTCCCCACCCTAAGTCACATAGGCAAGGTCTACACACCTAAACAAAATAGGGACTCCGCCAAATGACAAAAGGAGATGATAAATGTTGGCTAGATAACCTATTGTGTCTACTACAAACCTTCCTTTTAAATTAATTTAATTTTAATTTTAAAATTTACCACTTTAACCATTTTTAAGTGTACAGCTTAGTGGCATTAAATGCACACACACTTTACACACTTTTGTACAACCATCAGCACCATCCATATCTAGAACTTTTTCATCTTCTCAAAATGAAACTCTACACCTATTGAACAATAACTCCCCATTCCCTCCTACCTTTGACAACCACCATTCTTCTTCTGTCTCTGTGAGTCTGACTACTCTAGGTACCTCATATAAGTGGAGTCATATAAGGACAATATTTGTCCTTTTGTGCCTAGCTTATTTTACTTAGCATAATGTCTTCAAGATTCATCATGTTGTAGCACGTGACAATATTTTCTTCCTTTCTAAGGTTGAATAATAGTCTCCTGTATGGATAAATCACATCTGTTTATTCATTTATCCATCAATAGACCCTTGGGTTGCTTTCACCTTTTGGCTATTGTGAATAATGCTGCTATAAACATGGGTATACAAATATCTGTTTGTGTCCCTGCTTTCAATACTTTTGTGTGTATATCTAGACAGAACTGCTGGATCATATGGGAATTCTTTTTATTTTGGTCATGCTGCTGCACAGCATGCAGGATCTTAGTTCCCTAACCAGGGTTCGAACCCGTGTCCCCTTCAATGGAAGCACGGAATCCTAACCACTGGACTGCCAGGGAATTCCCTCATATGGTAATCCTATTTTTAACTTTTTGAGGAGCTTCCATACTGTTTTCTCTACTGTGCACTACCATTTTACATTCCCACCAACAGTGTTCAAGGGTTCCAATTTTTCTACAACCTCACCAACACTTGTTATTTTCTGTTTTTTGTTGTTGTTTGTTTTTTTAATAATAGCCATCCTTCTGTGTGTGAAGTATTATCTCATTGTGCTTTTCATTTGCATTTTCTGAATGATTAGTGATGTTCGACATCTTTCCACGTGCTTATTAGCCATGTGCATATCTTTGAAGAAAGGTCTATTTAAGTCCTTTGCACATTTTTTAATCAGGCTGTTTATTTTTTGCTGTTGAGTTGTAGAAGTTCTTTATATGTATTCTGATATTAACCCTTGTCAGATATATGATTTGCAAATATTTTCTCTATTCCATGGGTTGTCTTTTCACTCTGTTGACAGTGTCTTTGATGCACAAAAGGTTTTAATTTTGATGCATTCCAAAATAACCATTTTTTCTTTTGTTGCCTGTGCTTTTGATGTTACATCCAAGAAATATGGCCAAATCCAATGTCATGAAGAATCCTATGTTTTCCCCTAAGAGTTTTATAGTTTTAGCTCTTATGTTTAGGTGTTTGATCCATTTTGAGTTAATTTTTGTATATGGTGTTAGGTAAGGGTTCAAATTCATTCTTTGGAATAAAGGCTGAAAATGAAATGAAAACTGGATATCCAGTTTTTCCAACACCATTTGCTGAAAAACAACATCCTTTCTCCATGAAATATTCTTAGCACCCTTGTTGAAAATCATTTGACCATATGATTTTCATATGTGAAGGTTGTTTCTGGGCTATCTATTCCATTGGTCTATATCTATATAAACCTTATATTAATACATTTATCTGGAGCTCCATTTTTCATCTTTAATATAAGTTTACAGTTTTATAATGTAACAGTTTTAACAGAAAAATTCTCCCAGATTCTAAGGGAAGAACAGCTTACAATGAGCAGTATCAAAAGAACCAGTGTAGCATGTAGGAAACAAACCAGTGTAGCACGTAGGAGGGAAAAGTGGGGAGAGGGATAAACTGGGAGATTGGGATTGACATATACACACTACTATATATAAAACAGATCACTAATAAGGTCCTACTGTATAACACAGGGAACTCTACTCAACACTCTGTAATGATCTATATGGGAAAAGAATCTAAAAAAGAGTGCAAATATATATGTGTATAACAGATTCACTTTGCTGTACACCTGAAACTAACACAACATTACAAATCAACTATACGCCAATAAAAATTAAAAAAAATAAGAGCCACTGCAGGAGGCATAATAGCAAGAAATATGAAGTATTAAACATTTTTAATGTTTACATATATATTAAAATATAAATCCAAATGAACATTATATTCTTTAAAGTTCAATACCAGTACAAACATCCAGTAAAGCATAATTTGCTTTATGGCTTTCAGAATGGCTCTGAACTCAGAAATAGCTGAATTTCAAAAGGAAAGGGAAAAAAAATTAAACCTGTCTTAAGGGCAGTAGCCTTTGAACACCAAATTTAAACAGAGAAGCTAATAACCAGTAAGTCTCGCCTGATGGCTCCAAATAAAGCAATGCCAACGAAAAGAATTATGCAAAAGTACCCATTCAAAACATATTGAGTCCTTATGGTACTGACTGTACAGAAAGAACAAAAGAGACGTGGAGAATTGCAAACACTCCTGTCATTTTTATGACGATTGATTGGTTTGACTTTGTAAAGAAAGAAACATTCTGATTGGCAATGGCTAAAAGGGCCAAACATTTTGAGCAACAGTTCAGCACAGGAGAAGCTACAAGAAGCAGGAGTGATAAGAAAGAAGCAATGTGGAGGGAAGTAAAGAAAGGGGCAGAAAAGAGTTAAGAGAAATCAAAAGCAGTGGGGCTCACATTGATACTAGGTATAAAATAGATAACAAATGAGAACATACTGTATAGCACAGGGAACTCTACTTAATGCACTGTGGTGACCTAAATGGGAAGGAAATCCAAAAAAGAGGGGATATATGTATATGTATGGCTGATTCACTTTGCTGTACAGTAGAAACTAACACAACATTGTAAAGCAACTATACTCCAATAAAAATTAATTTAAAAAAAAAAGAAATGACTAAAGGAAGCAAGATGTAGAATTTGTACGTTGATAGTACTGTTCTTTGTATACTGAGATGTTACAGATTATATGTCACACCGTCATTTTGTATATAGTAAGAAAAAATCTGCCAGTTAAACTATAACAATGTTTGCTTATTTAAAAAAAAAAAAAGCAG